TAAGAGGTCGCTATGCTGGGGTCCTTGCCCGCTTTGACCAGGGGGATGATGAACGACTGGCGCCAGCAATCGGGGATGATTGAGGTTGCCAGTGGTAGAGGATCCTGGTTATCCTGCATCCTCTTCCGGCCGGTTCGTCGGGGGTCCTCTTCGCTTGCAATTCCTATGTTCGGTTAAGTTTTATTTTCTCCTTTACTCAAATAATCGCGTAAGACTTTGTAGGCCACGGGGAGGCCTAGATGTCTGTTGACAGTGTTGGCACCTGAGTACCATGCCTCAAGCGTCAGCCTTTCGACTTTTGAGGTTCCTCGACCTACGATGGTTGCTCATTGAATATCGAAGTCGTGGCCAGTCTCTCCGATGTATGCTGCAAGCTGTGGGTTTGGGTCTAGTCTCCGAGCCGCTAATTTATGTTCGTGTAGGCGAGTCCGCAATTTTCGACCTGTTTCTCCAAAGTAATTACAGTCTCCATCGTTGCACCGTATCTTGTAGACAACTGCAGAGGTTTCAGTAGGGGGCAGTCTGTATTTAGTTTGCATCACTCGGCGGCGTATTGTCGCCTGATGGGCTATGCCTATTCCAGCGGGTTGTAACAGTCGTGAGACTGTTTTGGAAACTCCTTTTATCTAAGGAATGACCCTCTAGATTTCGGATTGCTGTTGCACCGGCCGTCATCTGTTCACTCGGCGCTTGCTTTGTTTGATAAATGAGTTCGGGTATTCATCAGCTCAGAATAGTTCGTGAAGATATTGTTGTTCAGCCCTTCTGTCAGCTGGAGTGCTGCAATGTTTTTCAACTCTTTGGAAAGGAATACGAACGCAACTACGCTTGTGAGACATAGGGTGATTGCTGTTGAAATGTAGTACTTGATTCATGCTGGTGACCTTTCTGAATACTATGGTTTGCAGTAGTCCAGTTGGACACCGGCGCACAAGGATATCGAGGAAGGTTAGTTGGTTATGTATTTCAGCTTCCATCGTGAATTGGAATATTTGGATCAACCGAGTTCAGTAACTCTTTGAGGTGCTCGATGTCAGATGTTTTGACAATGACGAAAGTGTCATCGACATAATGAGCTCAGAACTTTGGTTGATATTTGGTGAAGACCAAGTGTTCTATCCGCTGCAATGCCACTTT